TGCTAATGACTTCCTGTAGGACGACTCATAAAATAGCCTTCGCCTGAAAATGCTGTGCTGTGTTGGCTAATGGGGCAGGTCTTATCGGTAGACTAGCGCCACCGCCAAGGTAAGTATCTCCCAATCGATGGATAGGTAATACCTCTGTTTAACGGAATAATCTATCTGACTCACAGAGAAAAATGTTCCAATCAGCCCAGTGTTCCATGAAATTATATAAGCTCACCTTGAAGCTTCCTATTACAGACGAAGAATCTTTTGGTGCTGTCACGGAAAGGCACTGGATGATATCGAGCATTCTGAAAGCTTATTCGTCCTCTAGGATGTTTACATGACTACGTTTGACTGTTGAACTTATAACAGAGGCGAATGAATTATTAGCTTGGATGAAAAGTCCCCGCCTTCTTCCACACTTGCGTATTAATAACATTTTAGTTACGCATGCTATCGTGAGTACCACAGAGCGGGCTTCATTGAAACTGGAGCACGTGTGAAGCGTCCGGTCACTTCGCTAATTCAGTAGTAAGGTGCTTCGGTGAAACGGGAAGTCTGAGGTTCCACAGGTTTCCCAGTCACTATAGCGTGATGCTGTAGTGACGCGCTGATAGCCTGTGGAGCTAAACTGGTACTTATCATGATTCTGTAAACGTCCGCCATTTGTATTGAATTCAGTCACTATTGCAGTAGAAAAGCCTTGTTTCTAGAAGTTTTGGGATGTGAGTAAAAAGTGCTCATTAGCTAAGCACTTTTTACGCTTTTCACTTCCGTCCAACCCCTATGTCTGGCACTTATCCGAGGAACGTTCGGCATTACTTAGAAATCTAAACAGTTTAGCGGTTTAATGGACACTGCTTCCCATTGACAACAGATCAGGGATGGAAAGTATTTATTTACTGAGCACTTAATAATTTAGCCATCCTTATTGTATTCGTGCAGCGAATGTAACTGCCACTGCGAAAAGGGTACGAACTTGATAAGAATCACATTTATCAGTCCTTACCAGTCATTACCACTTTGGAACGCCACCGTCTGTTTTTCCATCCAGCCTAACTCATGTCAGAACCATTGATTTCACTGTTCTGTGAAGGGCGCAACCAAAGTGGTGAAGGTCACGTTCTAGCACTCCAAACCTTTGGTCCAATTCGTCGATTCCTTGTAATGTCATTTTCTCCGATATAGTGTTTTGCCTATTCATGAAAGTGTTTTACATTAGCCGCAAGCCACTGGTTGACGACGCTGCGTTGTTCCGCACAGGCGAGCTGGTGTGCGAAGAATTGGGTAGTAACTGCCTTACCACAACTCAGCACTTCAATGTACACTAGTTCAATGTACACTGTTCCAACATACAGAACACGACATTCTTCCAGAGGATGTTCAGAGGATGTATGGCTTCAGCTGTCCATCACTTTCCAACCACGGCCATCTTCTTTTTGTTGTTGAGGAATATCCATTCCGAGATGGCGGTAAGACAAAGACAGAAATCCCTTTTTCCAACCCGTACTGCTTGCTCGCTTAGCTCAGAAGACCTAATTACAGCATCGAAAAACCATACCACAAACTTCCATGAAAGTTTGTGCTCCCTTCGGCAAGGGCTCGATTCGGGTTTTCTTTGGTTGCTCGTTAGCTACAGCTTCAGGTTGATGTTCATGCTCTTAGTTCTCAAGCATTTCCAACTTCAATCTAGAAAATGCTGAAATCTGCTGAAAGTGTTTCAACTTGTGCATCACTGCTCAATATTTTGCACACATCTGATAGCGGCAGCTTTTCCTGTTTGAGATCGCACCATATGCATGTGTAGCGACGTTTTGGGCTTATTATTTCGCACAAAAATTTGAATTTAAGCAGCCTTCCCTTAAACGCTAATACATCGTGATGTGCGTCGGATCTTCTTCCGAATGAGTATTCAAGCATTGAGAATGGTTGTGCGTTCGCATAGAAACAATTTCAGAAACCTGAGCGACCTTTTTTATAGGCCGATTCAGCAGTAGAACACACAGAGGAGTACACTGAAGAGATGGAACCAACCAATGAGATTCACGTAGGGGCGGGCGCAAATACTGCTCATATAACGAGTGCGCAGTCAACTTAAGCATCACGTAAAAACTTTTACTTCGAAGTTGATGCATTCAGACCTCCATGCAAGCTCTTGCTAAAGACAGCAGTAGAATCCTGATAATTTTTGCTGTGAACGGACCACCACAACTGATCCCATTTCCAAGCACGAAGCAAGCCTATTCAATCGCGAAAGCCTCAAAAAACTATGAAAAACATCCCACTCACTTATCCAATGCCATTTCGGCGAGTACTGGAAGTCTCGCTGACATTCTACAAAGTGCTTGTTCTTCGAATGTCAGTTTGTGGTGTTTGATACAGTCGGAATAATCGAGTATCGGAACCATATAAAAAATCATTGTGAGATTCTGAAACTGTGAGCTTCCTAAGCATTCGACAAAGTCATACTCTAAAGAATTTCGCATTTTTCAGCTTACCAGGAAAAAAGTTTATGACCTTGGCTGGCTAACGCGGAAGGTGCCCTCGAGGATAAAAGAAGCAGAACTTCATTCAGGAGATTGCCTCAAATTCTGCACAACTATGATCAATGGACTTAAGCATCCCGATCAATGCTAGGTCACCCACCGTAATGGGTCAAGCTAGGACGTCCACCGTAATGGACACACATGCTAGGAAGTCCTCCGTAAAGGACAAACACAAGACCGTCAGGATTGCCACGCTCAACATCGGTACCCTGACCGGCCGCTCTGCTGAATTAACAGAAATGCTCAGAGAAAGAAGGATTGATAATTGTGCACTACAAGAACCAAATGGACCGGCGCTAACGACAAGACGAAAAGGATTGGCTACAATGTATACAACGGTCAACAATACAAGACCAACGGTGTCGCAATGTCACGAATGGGAGCACACTGTCAAAGATGTGCGGAGGATTTCTAATTCGCATCATGTACATTGCTATGATTTTCGGCAGAGAGCGACGCATATCATCTGCGTATACGCCCACAAGCAAACTTGCCCAATAGCGTGAAAGAAATGTTCTGGGAACAACTCGCTGACGTGACGTCCACACGCCAGCCAATGAACATCTGTACATCATGGGAGACCTCAATGGTCATATTGGCGCAAGCAATGATCAATATGAGGATACACAAGGACGATTCGCCTATGGCACGAAAAATGAAGACGGTTCTCCTATATTGGAATAAGCCAGATCCCTAAAACTGATCATTCATTTCTTTTTTTTTCAAAAGAGAGAATCCTTCGGCCACATTCTACAGTGGCGAATCCAAAGCACAAATCGACTACATTTTGGCTAAGAGAAGAGCCACTGAAGTGATATCCTAGATTGCAAAATGATTCCATCGATAACTGTCAAAGTCAACACCGTTCCTTCGTTGCCACCACCAAGATGCCTAGGAAGATGGAACAAAACAGACGGAAATAGAGGGACAACATGCATAAAGGACCTGCGTACATTAACCTAACGACGAAGATCTGTCGTCACATCCTCGATGAGGTCACGTTGATCAACTTGAAGGGGCTACGGGTCTTCTTTGGGCTCAGTGTTAGAGAGGCCCAAAGATAACTCTTTGGGAGTCTCCAACACTAAGGATAAGATAATGTGAACAACTCCTTTGAAGAACACTTCTAGTAAGGACCGGTGGATGTCCTCCACTTCCAGACATCCTGCCCTCATCCAGTCCAATTTGCTGCGCCACGGACGTCCACGCTGGAGCTCCTCTACCTTTAACTTTTGAATTCAGAAAAATGAAACGACGCAGGCAAGAGCATCCAAGAAATCTGCAACGTCGAGATGATACATCAACCGCTCCCGAAGATCCATGAGCCTATACCGTGCATGGCCGAGCAATAATTCAATGAAGCTATGAAGAAGATGAAGAATGGGAAAAACCCACCGGCCCTGACAAAACCAATGTAGAAAACTGGAACCGACTCGGAGGTCCGCTAACTGACTCAACTCTTAACAAGTCGCTGAGAAGGGTGAGATCCGAACTGATCAAAATGTGTCATGTCCCAACTACAAGAAGAAGGGTGACATTGTCAGCTGCTCCAGCTATAGCCTCATTCGTCTGATGTGCCACATCTTGAAAATGTTTGATTGAGTTTTGGACGCCAGGCATAGAGGTAGTTGACATTAGTCGGATGCAGTGTGGTTCTTGACCGAGCATGGTAACCATCCGACGCTATTCACGTGGCTTGACGCATGATGGAAAAAGCGAAGGAATGGAATAGACCACTGCACCCATGGCTTTTTTGGATTTGGAGGAAGCCTTTGACCGAATACCCCGTCGGTTCATATGCCCTCCGATGCGGAAATGTGCCAGGAGCATTCGTTAAAGCTGTACAGCTGGTCAATTTGTCAACTGCCATCCAAACTGCTAGGTGACACCCCACAGTTTCCAGTTTGGATATTTTTTTGATATTTTTTTTGAATATTTTGAAAGAGTGATGTTTGGTCCAGACGAGGGTTAACAGGGCAATTTCTTCTCACACTGCACGACTTCCAAATCCACCCCTTTTGCAACTTGCGGTCCGACATTGTCATGCCTGCAATAGTTTTCGAACATTTCATGGGTCTACTTTTCAGGATAGTGTTGGGATGTCCCAGCCATTTGTTTTCTCTGTGCAAATCGACCAAAGCAAAACAAGCACCACATGACGATCTCGATCGACGACTCGTGATGGTGCAGTAGATATCGACCCACTTCGTCTTTCAACAATTTCTTGGGCCAGTTTTCATAATTGAGCTCCAAACGTAGTAGTCACTTCTCTCGTAGACAGGACGACTCGCTTTCACTCAATGCCAATGCATGTTCAAATTGAGCTCATATGTGCATTCAGGGCTCTCGTCGTCTTCAAGGGTGTGATCTCCCTTCTGTGATTTTCATGTCAACGAGCAATGATCTTGCAACTAGGGCATGATCGTCATGCATCTTCCTCTTTCTGGCCTTGCCAGTTCATATTAGAGTCGCAATGGTAGGAGAGCATTTCCATTACGTTTTAAGATTGGGAAGGTGTAACATGACGCAGGTGCCGACGATCTGAGACAATCCTTCTCCATATCGTAAAAGGGGAAGTAAAAAACGAAGGAAGTAAAAAACGAAAAAGAAGCTACCTATTGCTATTGACAGGAACAGCAATACCTTGCCTATTTTCTCAATTTGCTGCTCAGACGCTGTCATGCAGAGAGCCATTTTACCAACAAAAAAAAACACAAATCTTTCCCGACAGCCCTTCAACAACAAAAACGGCCTCATTTCTTGATAGGCTGGACGTGGTACCCGGAGAGATACAGCGCTGCGAAGAGGGAGAACGGGAATGGGCACGTTATACGAGACGGCACAAATGCCACGCGTGCTATGAATGATGAGAGTGGGTGTGGTCACAGCGGTCAAGTGAATGTATCAGCGCCTTTTTACTAGGAATACGCTGTAACGCCATCTGAGTAGTGGCTCATCGGGGCAAACACTGCTTGAAATGAAATAATCAGGATCGAATCAAGCCTGACGGCTTATTAACACTACATATTTTACCTGTATAGCTATATTCGCTTTCTCGACATCGTTTATGTCTATAGCTTCAATAAGCATTTCGACGAGGTAGAACAAGTGACATCGAAACGTCTTCAAGTGGTCCCGAATCTCGAAGTCCAAGCCTTGGCCAAGTTTGCTGAGAGAGTACTTCCCGATTGGCGAGTTTGGCGATCGGATCTGAAAACGCCACCCAACTTGATGCCCACTTTTTCGCAAAACCCTTCTACAAATGGGGAAACTAGCTCTTGTGCCTAAGTGTTTCATGTGTTTCGCTGCAATTTGCACACTAAATTGAATAACTCGCTTGCATTACATAACCTGTTCGCTCATCGCAGCGGCATCGTGCCCATATAAAATAACTTGGCGCCGCACGCATTGCGCTCACAACACAGATCTGCGGCGAATTTTGATGGTGCGACGAGAATTTTCAAATTTGGCGCTTGGTACAC